GAGAACTCCCTTAACATTGCCTTATTTGCTTACTTATCAATATTTACACAGATTATGTGCTGTATATGAACATATTATATCAAATGTATTTCATAACATCAAATTTCATTAGAAAGTATGTAAGTAATAGCAAAGAGGAAAATGTATGTCAAGAGCCTGGCCCTATCGAGGTTCCACGATAGGAACTGTTATTGTAAACAATATTAACAAGTAACAATTCAAGAAAAAATGCTACCAGAAAAAAGTTTCTCAAAAAGCATAACAGGTAGCAGTGAAAGACACAACCTCGGCTCATTCAACAACATCTACGGCAATTTCCCAAACATTTCTGCTAACAAAACATTCATATGGCTGTTCAACACGCTACTGTTAACATGCCCAAAGGACGACTAAAATTTCCAGGGACACAAATGAAAGCCACTCTTCTAATCACAGCCAGCTTAAACTAAGCTTTGGAATATTAATGCACCATGCTTCCCTTTCTATGGGAACACAGTTTTCCTATCTATGAATATAAACATCAGTTCTAAGATATACACCAAATTTATTGAAACCTCTCAATTATAAATAATAACTTCCTTTAAAAAAAGGCTTTAGATAAGACATATTTTGATCCTTATCAAAATCCTAGGCTGGTAGTTCTATATCAATATAATACTTATAATACACAAAATCACAATACAATAGACAAGGGAAATCATGCAATCAATTAGTGAATTTTCACAAGGCCAAACGGCCCAGGTCAGAAAAATGATTTTTTGAAATGAAACATTTATCTGGCCTGATTTATCATATGGTCTAAGCCAGGGATCCTGAAACTTTTTTTCTTTTTTTTTGAGACAGAGTCTCACTTTGTTGGCCAGGCTACAGTGAGTGGCCGTGGCATCAGCCTAGCTCACGGCAACCTCAAACTCCTGGGCTCAAGCAATCCTGCTGCCTCAGCCTCCCGAGTAGCTGGGACTACAGGCATGCGCCACTATGCCCGGCTAATTTTTTCTATATATATTAGTTGGCCAATTAATTTCTTCCTATTTTATAGTAGAGACAGGGTCTTGCTCTTGCTCAGGTTAGTTTCGAACTCCTGAACTCAAAGGATCCGTCCGCCTCGGCCTCCCAGAGAGCTAGGATTACAGGCGTGAGCCACCAAGCCCCGACCTCAAACTTTTTAAACAGGGGCCAGTTCATTGTCCCTCAGACCGTTGGAGAGTGCGCACTGTGGGCCCAGAACCAGTCGGCTGCTAAGCAGGACAAGAAGCAGCCGCAAAAACACCCGGCGGGCCAGATAAATGTCCTCGGCGGGCAACACGTGGCCCGAGGGCCATAGTTTGAGGACGCCTGGTCTAAGCCATAGACCCATACCTTAAAGATTTCATGATTTAGGGAGATAATCCACCATCAACAAAAATAATATAAAATCACGGTGCCAATTTCTTCTATATTAGAAATGTAGCTTGTTCAGTTTGGTTCTGTTAAAGGAAGTTAATTTACACAACACCTTTGAAAAAACAAAAAAGTTGATTTTTTTCAAGTTAGCCAAACATAATACAATCCAAGAAATATACTCAGGTTGGCATATATAACCCAGTCTTGGTATTACAATTATACAAAGACTGGTTGATTTTGTAACATACTCTAAAACTTCTGTAACCAATAAATTTTTCTCCAACTTTCCTGTAAGCAGTCATTATGAAGACCTATTCCAATGCTCACATTCTTTTTGCTGAACAGACTTTAGAAGCCTGTGGAACATTTCTCTCGAATATGCTAAACTGTTGCAAATTTTAAGTTTTTTAAGAATGGATTTGATTCATGAGAAGAGACAAAAAAAGTCACTGGGAAAGACATCTGGTAAATAGATCAAGCTAAATAAACTAAGTTTCATTAAAAAAAAAAAAAGAAGAATGGGGACTGACTATAAGGTAGTATGGTTGGTTTTTTCAAAAACCATAAAAGCAAATTTAAAATGGGAATTCCAAGCACTTTGAGCCATCAGTCATATTATCTCTGTAATAACAGTGTAACTCCCCAGAAGGAATTTTCTTTTTTTCCCTGTATTATGTTCTCTACCAGTTTAGTTCTCCAAATTCTAAAATAATAATTGAATAAGTGACCATACTGACATCTCATATAGATTATCTCATTTCATCCACGTATCACTACTACTAGATATTACTACCATTTTACAGATGAAGAAACTGAGGCTGAGTGTTTTAAGTAACTTGCCCAGTTCACACAGGTAATAAGGACAGAGCAGAGATTATTACCTCATAGAGTTTATACACATACACCAAATATATGCATATATGCCTGGCTTTTTTAGGCTTTGACCTATGCTTTCTGATTCTCCCTACTGGTCTACTCTTGTAATAGCTGCTACATATGTATATTTTAGCATTGCCACACCAGTACTGCAATCATGCACTTGTTAATATCCCCAACTCAATTAAGTGTAAGTTTCCAAAAAGAATGGACCATATCTTGTTCATCTCTATAGTTCAAGAAAACAGACCAGCAACTTAACATATCTAAACTCCTTTCTAGGAGCCCAGCTGTGGCTCTGAGACCACTTCTTACTAGCTGCTCCTAGGTGGTGAATGTTACGGGACCACTCCTGGACTGGCGCCTGTTCTTTTAGCTTCAACAGCCACAGGCAAGGAAAGCTCAGGCGGCAAGAGCATTCAGTATGATCAGCTCCTCCTTGTAGGGCCATTCTTAATATCTTAAACACCACAATATGTGATGTACAGGGTTTTCTAAGTCTAAGAGCTACACTCACATCAGTGTACCTCTAGCAGTTTATATACATTGTAAAAAATTAAAGTACAGGGCAGTACCACAATCATTGAATCTACAAGAACAAAGTAAAAATAGGAGACAGTGGGAGTCAACAGAATAAGATAAAGTCTTACCAAAAGCTATCTTCTCATTACAATACAACCACAGAGTCCACAGGGGCAAGACTAAACAATTTATATGCTTTCCCACACAAGAAACTAATGAGGGCAATTGTTAATGGTCTTTTGAGTCTATTGTAATTACAAAATGACACAGGTTAATAATTAAAGAGACATCAAGTCTCTCAAAATGAATATTTATAAGATTAAGTCATATTAAGCATTAAAGATCTTGGAACTTAAAGGTGAATGTAAAAATACAAATGACCCAATATCAAAACTACTTAATAGAATACTGATACTTTTTATTCTTTCAAGGGACCTTTTACCTAATAAATGTTCAAGCTTGTGGTTTTAGTTTCCTTCCATTTCTCAAAATATGGGGCCTTCTCTAGCACTTACCTTTCTCTTCCTGTTCTCCCCTCCACCCCAAATGTGCTTTGGATGTTCTTTAATCTTTCAAAACAAGGGAGTGATAAATGCCGCAAACTACTGAATAAAAATGACAGGATCACACAACTAATCCTGATCCCACGACTAATCTTGACTTTCTATAAAGTAATATTAAATAGTCTTCTAGAATACCAATCTAATTCTTAGAAGCAGAAAACACCAATCTAATTCTTAGAAGCTCAGTGTTCCAAGAAAAATGAATTAATAATTGAATCATCCTGGCTACACAAGAAACGGAGAGCAAGGAACCATGTCCTATGCAAAGACAGACAACAAATCCATCTAGCAATACCTGTAAGTAGAAAAAGAGCTCAAGGAGCAAATGCACCATGACCAAAAAGTACAGGAAGAGAACAACATAAACTTGGAGATGAGAAGGAATTAGAACTGGATGAACCAGGACAGATCGATGAGCTATCGCGGACGGTGGCGGTGGAAAAGAACAGACCGCCACTGACGACATGAGAGTGGACGGGAGGCGAGGGTGGACAAGACAGGAGCTGGAGCTGGCAGGAGAGATAACAGCAGCAACAGACGAGGAAGGAGGCATACCAAGTCAAGAGAGGGTAGAGACTAGAAAACGCTGTAAATGGGAGGTTGAATCATGGGAAAGGCAGGGAGTAGGCAACACATAGGAAACCAAACAAGAAATTCTAGACAGAAGAGAAAAATGTAAAAGGGGACCAGGTGGTACAGAGTAGAAGTGGGACAATAAGAATGACATAAAACAGGCCCACAGGGAAGGAAATATGGAAAACCCAAATGCTTTATGGAATTTTGGTTCATTAAATTAAAATTCTGCTTATTTTTCCCTGTTGGGTAAAACTTGATTCATAAGAGCAAAAATTTTCAATTTATGGAATAGAAAATTATTGATAGGGTCAACTGACTTAGTCATGGAAGAGTTGAAAATAGTTAAGATTTACTTACGGCAAATACTCTTCATTCTAATCAACAAACCAATTTCTTATTAAAAATGTGTACTTGTAATGACCTTAATGACCAACTAGTTCACGTGTTAATTTCATAACCTCCACCCCCCTGCCTGTGCTTACTAGCATTTGGAGAAATCCACGCTTCTTACTGCCTCCCCCAAAAAACAAAAGGTAAGAAGGTAATATTACGTCAATATTGCTAAAAAGAAGCTTGATGGAAGTTTAATCTCTTAACAATAGCTAAAAGATTTGTTAAATTTTCAAAGTTCTCCTACCCACATTGCTCTGGTCTCCCAGATAACTGAAAATAGAAGGTAGAGATCACCCTTCACTTCCATCTAGAAAACAAGAGATGACAACAAAACACTGAACAAGGATATAAAAATTGTAAAGAAGAACAACACTGGAAAGAGTGGGAAGTGTTCTATTCTTGATCTCAGAAAATAAAGTTAGGGTAGAACAACCACCACCACATCAAAGGCCTATTTATGAAGATATAATTCTTATTTTTAAACTGCAAAAAGGCCAGGCACGGTGGCTCACGCCTGTAATCCTAAGCTTTCTGGGAGGCCGAGGTGGAAAGATAGCTGCAGCTAGGGGTTCGACACCAGCCTGAGCACCGTGAGACCCCGTATATTAAAAAAATAAAAGTAAACTGGAAAAATACAGTAATCAGATCATCAGTGTGAAGAAATTGTTCCAAAAAAAGTAGGCATACACAGAGGCTGAGAGCAGATAGAGGAAGATGAGACCAAAGGCACGATGAACTTCAAGGAGCAGCAGCACGCCAGGAGGAGGAAGCCATTCACCCACACGACACACCCTCTGGCAATGCTCGGGGAAAGTCCATTTCTGGGAACCAACATCCCAGTGAATTGTTCCTATTTCTTGTCCCACGGCTGTTCCATACAGAATAAGACTCTGATCGTAAGTAGATTGCCAGCTACCGCAGTACTGGAAAATAACTCAAACACCACACACAAAAGTGGACGGCTTAACAAAGACAGTGTAAGAAACAGGCACAGAAACATGCTAGAGTCCTGGTCATTCACATTCTCAGAACTATCTTCTTTCAGCTGCTCAAAAGTCCTAGATGGCACTGGAGTTACTTCAGGGATGTCCTTTTTCTTCAGTTTTTCACCATTCTTCCTTGAAGATCTTCATGAGTCATTTGGCCATGCAGCCCACTCACAGGCGGCTGCCACTTTATCATTCACTTCCGGAACGGCTGCCACTCCACAGGCTTCACAGAGACGCCTTGAAGGAACGAGCCTGCCCGCTGGTCTGTACTGGGGACGTGCTGAAACTAGGACTACCTCACATTCAAAGATGACATGGAAGCCAAGCGTGCTGTTTCCAAGGTAAGATGCCTTAAAAGAAGAAAAGTTAAAAATCAACGAGATTAAAAAAAGCCCTAATAATGCAGTGCAAATTTTCACTCTATTATATTTTAGCTAAGACTGAAAACTAAGTAATTCAAATAAGAAATATTAATGTTTATGTCAGCTTTAAGTATCAATATTTTTTTTTAAAAAAATCAAAAAGGGGACCACAGGATATACAATAAAAGTATGGCAAATAATTGACAGTTGCTGAAATTAATAAAAAGCATCAGTTAAAATTGTATAAAAATTCTGGTGACTGGCTTTTAAATCTTTATTATGGCCAGAATAAAAGACAGACTTTGTGGAAAACAAACAAACAAACCAGTTTCTCTGCATTCACACCTTACTCAGAATGGTATCAACAAGCATGATTTATATTCAGCTATAAAATGAGTTCCTAAACTGATGACCTGGAAAACATCTTCTAGCCATAAAATTCTGAAATTGTGTATTATTTGGTGATAAAATCTTGGTACCACTGAACCAACTCTAGGCAAGTCATTTCCCTTTGCCCTGGCTTTCTTATATATGAAACACAAGGCTGGTTCTTCTTATAGCACAAGTGGCACCAGAATCACTTGAAGATGGTTTAAAACACAGACACCCAGGCCCTGCTCCAGCAACTCTACCGAATCTGCACCTCTGAGGTTAAGTGAAGACACGGGATAAAGCCTGGGTCGTTCTGATGTACATTCCTGGTTAAAGAACTAGATCACGTTCAGAATCCTGCTCTCCAACCCTAAAATTCATAAATTGAGGGTAGTGGAGATTTCATTAAATTACCTAGCTTGAGAGGCTTAAAGTAAACGAATCAGCGTATCATTTTCTCTTCTCCTAAAAGCCTCTCATTCAGGGAAGAGACTAAAATTAAGACTAGGGCTAACGTGCCAATCGGATAAACACTTCAGTATAGACTGACGTGTCATTCTTCCTAGGAGAGACCGACCGGTAACACAGAATACTGTACCTGCAAAGAGCGTGTCCTCCCCGGCTGCTGACCAGGCTCGCAGCCCGCACTTCCTGTGAGGGCACTTCCTCCTCTGATTCCTGGACCTCAGGGGTGGTGACACCCAGCTCCCCTATCTGGGGGCCGTTTAGATTCAGTGACTCTGTTCATGCCTGATGTCTCCAAAAGAATACTGTCAACTCCCAAAAAACGGGACACACATAATTAGGCTCTCAGAGAATGCCACCGTTCTTCATCCTGCTGGGATCTGTTTGCAGGCCCTCGTCTAATTCTACACAGCCTCAAACTGACTTTATTCCAGGTTTATCACAAAACTGACCACACGATTTTACTTTTTTTTTTTTCCGCCAAAAAATATTACTTGGTTCGAAGAGGCCTTCTGGTCCCAACAGTGTTCTCTACTGCCTAGTACGAGCTGAAAAAGTGGAGCGAGATTCCACAAAAGGACAAAGCAAATGGACAGAAGTGCACAGGAAACCTGCAATAACACCCATGTTATGGTAATTGTGGGAGTTATGGTAATGAGTATGGTAATGTGGGAGTTATGGTAATGAGTATGGTAATGTAGGAGTTATGGTAATGAGTATGGTAATGTGGGAGTTATGGTAATGAGTATGGTAATGTGGGTGTTACTGAACACCCTACTACCACTAGGGTTTCAAATCTAGTAAGCGTTTAAAAAATATGCATTAATATATCGTGCCATTCAATATTATTTCATTGGGTGTAAGTTTTATGACATTAAATTAGTAACTTAAACAATCATTGTCCTATGTCCTGGTGAGTCATTATCTTAGAATTCAACATCTATAAAAAGAACCTTGAGATTCAGAATTCAGTGCGTCCCACCATCCCTCCTCCCGTCTTTATTCATTTCAATATACAGTATCCCCTTAACTATTTCATCATTGACCTCTTCTATCTAGAAAATCCAGCACTGTTTCTGAAGCTCAGAGTCATTGCAATCTTTTATGCTACTTTGAAATTTTAAAAAGAGCATCTTTTAGCGCTGTGAAAGTAGAGCAAATGTCTAGATTGGCCTTCGAATATAAAGTTAAACTTCCCAGAGAAACCACACTGACTCTGGAGTCAGACTGCCTACTTTTTACTTGAGGCATGACCTTGGGCAAGACTTGACTTAATTACTTTGCTGTGCCTCCATTTCCACCTTGGAAAAAAACAAGATAAACGTACCTATTTCAAAGGATTGTTGTGAGATTCACATTTTAAGCACTACATAAATGTCTGCTCTTATTGTTTTGTTTAGCTCTAAACCGGGGGTCCTCAAACTTTTTAAACGGGGCCAGCTCACTGTCCCTCAGACCTTTGGAGAATGTGGCGCACATTCCACACATGCATCCTGTGGGCCCAGGACGAGTCGGCTGCTAAGCAGGACAGGCAGTGGCAGCAAAAACACCTGGTGGGCCGGATAAATGTCCTCGGCGGGCCGCATGTGGCCCGCGGGCTGTAGTTTGAGGACCCCTGCCTAAACTCTCATACTGTTTCACAAGTACACACTAGGTTTGCCCAACTAAACTTTATCTACTATTTTAGGTATCTCTGATGTGTCCCCATGGTATGTAACATTCACTCAATAGATAAATATGAACATACTCTGTATACATATTATACTGGATACCAAGGCAGTTCTCAAGAATAGTATTATATAAGCATATATCCCCTGGCCTCAAGGAGCTTATATTTTGGTTGGGGGAAAAAAAATACGTGGAACACTTACATGATAATATAAAGCGATAAAACATTAAATGCCAAAGAGTATGGTATAAACAGCTCACAGTCCAAGAGCTCATGGTGAGCTGCAGACTCTGGAAAGGTCAGGCTGGAGTGGCCCTGCACCTTAGGGCAGGTGAGGTCTTCACTAGTGGAAAGAGAAGATTTCAAGGTACTGGTCACTCAGCAAATATTTACTGAGCATCTTCCATATGCCAGGCTCTGTTCTAGGCCCAGGGGAAAAGACAGTGAGCTGAGACCAGAAAAGTCCCTGCACTCAGGGAGCTTAATGGGCACACCATATGAAAGCCACTTTTCAAAGTGAGGAATGAGAAGGGTCTGTCTTCCTATTACAGGAAATATAACGTCACTTAGATGCTTTACAGACAGGAGATGATGCTGTTATTATAGCCACTATGGCTTTCCAATAGTGACAAACATGCAGAAATGGCTGCTATGAATGTTATGAAAAGTTCGATAATATTCATGTATTGGAATATACCATTTTCTAAGTCTGTTCCATTGTTTATAAAGCACATTAAGGGACATTCTCAATATTTCTTGATACAAATAAGAGATTTACAAACATATACACTCAATATTATTGGAATGGTTTTTATGACAGAGGCCTGTGGACGTGCAGTTCCTTAATTTTGCCCAAACGAAAGCCTAATAATGCTTTGCTCCCCACCTCCCCATTCCCTACCTTTCCCCTCTTTATCTACCAGCAACCACCACAAACATCGGAGTTGATAAGTGCTTGAAGATGCACCTGGAGGCAGGAATCAGTCACTATGAGACCATTCTATTAACTCCAAAAGAAAACAGATGTGCATCTTTTACTTCTAAGATCCTTCTACTGATGACAACTCTCCACTCATTCCCTCCCCAGAGAATGCCTTTAGGTAAAGAAACCCTCACATAAATACCGACTGGCAAAGCATTCTCAATCTTTTTCTCTTCCCAAAGACAGACCACTAGAATCTTAGGTAAGTTCCAATAACCTTTAATCACAAAGACACACCTCCAAGTACTTTTCATCATTCTTTCTAGTCCATTCAATTGTTTCTACTCTAACAAGGTGCAAACTGTCAGGCCCCACCCTCATCTCAGAATCAATATTAATTGGAACTGCTATGCCTATATAAATCATTAAATTGTATCTTTGGAAACATAGCCAAAATAAACTTATTGATTACGGCAGCCAAAACTACTTAATTAAATCCAATCAAAAACTTAATTTCTTAATGCATGAGTACTGAACTCAGTAGTAAACATACATTGAAGATATTTAAAGGCACACTAAAAAATTGGGCACACAAAACTTTCACTACCTAGGAAAATATAAATAATCGAACATCCTTCCTTCATATGCTTTGTGAAATTGTGCTAGATTCATCAAAAGTAATAGCCAGCCCATTGTTTTTATTTCCTTAGTTTAATACTGAAAAACTAGTCTTATTTCATTATGTCATTTGTTTATCCTTAATTAGGAATGTCACTAAGAAATTAAATATGGATAAGGGGCCACTTAAGAATGGGCCATTACGGCTTCCCCAATAGTTACTTTCATAGTCTGTTTATTTGGTGACAATGTTATGTAACCAAAACTAGGATACGTAAGAGACGCAGAGCTTTGGAACCTATTCAGTACCCAAAAAAAGGGACTAACTGCAGTTCTATGAATTTTTAAAGCCATCTCTAGATTTGAAAAAAAAAAAAAAAAACACATTGATTTACTTTATGGGTCATTTTATATTACCAACACCCTTCTTTTACAAAAGCAAAAACAAGTATCTAATGTACAGGTTCCACATTTGGACACATTCAAATCAAACTCATGTATTCAACTAATTTTTGAGCAACCTATGCTTATGCGAAAAGTTTACTCCTGAAGATTAAATGAGATAAAACATGTAGACCATTCGGCAGAGGCCTGGCAAACAAACATTACTCGGCATTGCTTATTACTGTTCTTAATTTTCCAACCTTAGAGTCAAACCAGCTGGCTATAAAATTATATGTATATATGGCTATGTGCATATACGTAAACATATAAATACTATACATAAAGGTAGTATACTAGTGTACCAAGCAATGGTCTCATTCTAGACAACGGTGGGTTTAATTCTGACAGATGGCCCACAAGGGATGGGAAACTTAAGTGTTAAATGTTAGTGTTTATCTCTGCTTGTCAATTAAGACTACAACCTCCACACGGTCTAGCATGACTTATGGTTAGCAGTCGGCTGATCCTGGAGAAGAACTTGCTCAAAGCGAAGAGTAAAAAAAGACCTCAATCAAGCACGTGGGCAAGGGGGCATTTATTGGCGAGGCTGCACCAACCGCTGAAATCCGACCGCTTCAACACCGACGCTCAAACCCCAACATAAACTCGCTGCCCGTCTCAAGCTGGAAAACGCTTCTTTCTAAGTCACCCTCCCCGAGCCCCACACCCACGCGGAACGCCCCAAAGCCCTTAAGCCGACAAAGCCACGCGAGCGCCCGGCCGCATCCAGCCTTCGCACCGCGGACTCGGCCGCGCGCCACACGCCGTGACAGGGAGGACGCCGCGACCGTGTGGAGGAGAGCGCGCGCGAACACCACGGGCAGCCCTCGCCCGGCGGCGACGGAGGAGCGGCCCGGTGCCCCCGCGCCCAGCGCGCGACGCGCCCGCCCTCCCCGCCGAGCCGCCCGCCGCCGGCGCCAGGTCACGTGCGCCGCGCGCGCGAGCCGAGCCCCGCCCGGCCCTACTCCGGCGGGGCTCGCGCAGCGGCGCGCGCGGGCGTGCGGGGCCGTGCGGGCGCGGCGCGGCTGTGGGGAAGGGAGCCGGGCTCCACTCACGCGCCCGGGGGGCGGCACCGGGGGCTGTCGCCGCGTCTGTCGGGTTCAAAAACTGAAAAGGGGAAGGGGCAGGGGAAGGAGAAAAAAAAAAAAAAAAGACCTGGTTCCTCGTCTCATCCGGAAACCGACGGGCCGGCAGGAAGTGACGCAGGCAGAGGTCGTCGGCGGCTGCGCCCGGTCCTCGCGCTCCCCCGCCCGACGCCGTGTGGAATGATACGCCGGGGTATGCGTTACAGGCGTGCTGCCTGCGGGCGCTCGGAGCGTGATTAGCGAGCTTGGAGGTGCGTCCGGCCGGCCCCGCGGCTGGTTTGTGGTCTTCGCTCTGTCACCGGCCCCGCGCCCGCGCCGCCCGCGCGCCGCTCGGTGCGCTGGTGCTAAGTGTTGTTGTTGTGGTTGTTGGTGTGTGTGTGGTGTCGTGTGTTTGTTTTTTGTTTGTGTTTGTTGTTTTTTTGTTGTTTTTTTTGTTTGTTTTTTGTTTTTGTTTTTTTTTTGTTTCTTTTTTTGTTGGTTGTTTAGTAGTGGGTTCGGCGCCCCCGGCCCGCCGCGCTCGTAGCTCTGTCGTAGTGTGGGTCGTGCTGTGGGCGGTTGGTTGGGGACGCTGGTCGGTCGGTTATGCCGCATGGTTCCATCCGCGCGGTGTGCTTCCCCGTGGGTGTCTGGGCGTCCGCGGGCGCGTTTTTAGGGTTGAGCCACGCGCAGCCTGACAGGATCACGCTGTGTACCCGCTCGGCGTGATTTCCTTCCGGGAGGAGCAGGTCTCGCAAGACCGGGGTCGCGGCCGAAGAGTTCAGGTTGGGAGGCGAGAGGTGTGTGACAGCCCGGCTCCTCCACCCCGGCCCGTGTGACTCTGGGCAGGTTATGTAACCACAGCCGCCACCCCCGTTTCTTCTGAGACCTGGAGCTGTAGTGCCTCCCTGGGGGAGGGCGGCCGTGGAAGTTCGGTGAATGTGGGGACCCCCAAGAGGAGACCTCAGATGCGGTCGCCCCCGTCGTCGTGCTGGGTGCAGCAGGCCTGTTGGCTCGTGCCCTTCTGCTTCAGGACCCAAACCTTCAGTGTTTTCACAGGGCCGAGAGAAATAGTCCTGTTTGTTTATTATGCAGTGCGTTTCGTCCTCGTAAGGGACTTGGGGAGTTAAGTGTTTCAGATCTGAATTTGCATCAAAAAATAACAAGGTTCCAATTGGGAGGCAAAAAATGACAACATCCAAGGCGTGATGCTCAGCATGCTCAATTGCGGGCGCACCTAGACTTGGGATCAGGAACCCCAAATCAGGACACCGATTTTTAAAAAAACTTAGGGTGTGCGGTGATGTGATCCCTAGCAAAGTTCTCAACCTAAAACCAACTCCTTGTCATATTTTGGTAACTTTATCTCCGAATACTCATATTTACTTGGGACTTAATTCAGCTCATGCTCATGCATCTTCTAACTGAAGTAGCTCAAGCATTATATTACAGGAAAAATGGGGTGGTGGGGGGAAGGTCAGTTTTCTCAAAAGAGCCCTGAGTGACATTTCAAGCGCATGACTGGGTATATTGATAATCTTGCTGAATCATTAACTTGCCAGGAATGATCCATTGTAATATCCCTGGGCAGTTTGCTTTAGACTCTAGAGGAAGGTGGTGGGGGTGTGCAGTAACCACGCAACAGGTATATGTGTGGCAACAGGTATATGTGTGTACACTTTAATACACTGTGGCTTGCCGGGGAGGAGAGGCCAGGGTCATGGTTCAGGCCACATGTGGGCCATGGGTCTGTACTATGACTCTAGATCATTCCTTACTCCTGGCATCTTACAGAGGCATGCCATTGGCTCTAATTGAGGACTGGGCAGGAAAGGCCTAGCCTCAGTGCAAACCTTTCACAACTACACTACTAAAAATAACTCAAAGTGCATGTCCCTGGAGTCATGGGATAGTGGTGTCATTGCATGCCAATGATGTTGTATAATGTATGTTGTATAATTCACGTTAAAATTTTACCATTGGGGTCAACAGTAATTAGAAATACTTATGTAAACATAATTAAAGACTGGCATATTTGGGGCAGCAGGAAGTCAAGCTCTGGGTAGGCATATACCATTTATTGATTGGCACATACATAAAATTGTGTGAAAAAATTGAAGCAAGAAATTAACCTGGTTCAAATCTGTTTAGTCATTAGAAAACAGGTCACAAAGACTTTTGTAATTTTTCAGGTAAATGACACCTGTGAAATGTTCTATTGGCCATTGCTATATATTGTTCTCTTTTTCTTCCCCAATTTGTTAGTAACTCCCAGTCCTGAAAGCCACCACCCTTGCTGCATAATTATCCTGGGCCTTCTGCAGTATCACAAATCAGACACATAAAGTCATCTTTTTTTACCAAATGCAGTGGTGGTTGCTATTTTACATTTTGGTACTAACAGTTTGAGATTCTGTAAATCATAAAGCCAATTATAGTGTCTGGTCTTCCAAAAGTTTCCATCTCTAAAGTAGGCTGATTACTTGCTATAAATCATAATATTACATTCAGAAGAACTCGATTTTAGTTTTAAGGAATAAGAATTGAAACTGTTGGCCAGGCGCAGTGGCTCATGCCTGTAATCCTAGCACTCTGAGAGGCTAAGGCAGGTGGATCACTTAAGGTCAGGAGTTCAAGACCAGCCTGAGCAAGAGGAAGACCCCATCTCTACTAAAAATAGAAAGAAATTAATTGGCCAACTAAAAATACATAGAAAAAAATTAGCGCGGTGTGGTGGTGCATGCCCGTAGTCCCAGCTACTCAGGAGTCTAAGGCAGGAGGATCACTTGAGCCCAGGAGTTTGAGGTTGCTGTGAGCTAGGCTGATCCCATGGCACTCTAGCCCGGGCAAGAGAGTGAGACTCTGTCTAAAAACAAAAGAATTGAAACTGTATATTACAGAACATGTTCTTAAAGAAAAAGAAAAAAAAAGAAAAAAGAAAAAAAAAAAAGAAACTGTGAACATGCTCAATATCACCTGTACCTCCCAACTCTCAAAACAAAACAAAAACCTCCATAGCCTGTCTTTAATATCTAGAAATTGAGTATAGTATGGTGTTTAAAGAACATTTTGATCTTGCATCTATAAATTTTCTTTTTTCTTTTTGAGACAGCGTCTCACTTGTTGCCCAGGCTAGAGTGAGTGCCATGGCGTCAGCCTAGCTCACAGCAACCTCAAACTCCTGGGCTCAAGCGATCCTCCTGCCTCAGCCTCCTAAGTAGCTGGGACTACAGGCAGGTGCCACCATGCCTGGCTAATTTTTTCTATATATTTTTAGTTGGCCAATTAATTTCTTTCTATTTATAGTAGAGACGAGGTCTCACTCTTGCTCAGGCTGGTTTCGAACTCCTGACCTTGAGCAATCCGCCCGTCTCGGCCTCCCAGAGAGCTAGGATTACAGGCGTGAGCCACCATGCCGGGCTATAAATTTTTATAATTTAAGTTTTTATTGTTCCCTGGCTAATTTTCACAAGACCAATCTTTATATTCATCAGATAACAATGGCTATTTTAGAGAAATTATTCCTGCCCTCAGTGCAAAGAGTAAGCTTCTGGCTTATCATGATATTCACTTTATTCTAGATGAGTACAGTATGTCCCCAGACATCTGACAAACACCAGTTGTCAGAAAGGGGGAAACACTCCACATGAGTTAGGAGCCAGACCTCTGCTGAAATTTCATTCATTTTATACAGAGGCAAGCTAGAAGAAAAACGGCAGACTCTGTCCTCAATACATTTTTATTAACTGAGTCAAATCTTACAGGCTGGACTGCAAGGTATTTTGGTGGAAGAATTTCTCCAATGCCTTTATTATTTTAGGCAGCCTAGAAGAAAAATGCAAAACAACTTCTTAGACATTCCAGATACTCTTTTTCTTGGTATTAGACAATAACTCTTATTTTTAGAAACTACAGTACAGTTAATCACCTATCATTTGTTCAGTTTTTCTCCTTTTTATAGAGTGTCTAAGACACTTCTCAATTTCTTTCAGTTGTTATTAGGTCATTCTCCTTAGACTTAGCTTTTATGTCCAACACAAGGGAGGAACTTTGTCTTTAAGGAAAAATTCAATTAACTTCTCAAACACAAGTAAGAAATCATTACTCTTTTACTTGCTGTTTGATACACTTGCTATTAGCACTTACTTTCTGTGGGAATGTCCAAAGAATGCATTTCCTTGAGTAGAAGTCACAGCTGTGTAAATAGCAAAAAGTAAGTTTTCATCCCATAGTTGTTTTTTTTTTTTTTAACCAAATTTAGCTAACAGGCCAAAACCAGATAAAGCTCCAAATGTTTCCGTTTCCGGGTGGTGTCTGGAGGCCTGTGGGTGAGCTTCGTACTGGCCATCAATCTTTGCAAGGCTGCACTGTTGTGGCAAGTGCAGTGTTGTTCTACTAGCACAGCCAGGTGTTTCAGTCTGTGGTTTAAGGTGTTCTCTTGCTTTTACCTGGGTGATAGTTACAATTTGGCAACGGCAATAACATTTGTCCTTTGTCCAAAAGCCTTTGTCCTTTTAGTGATATTTTCATCCCAAGTTGTAAGTATTTTAGGTTTTATGGGCTGTGAAGCATAATCAAGGATGTTATAAGGTGTAGGTATTGGTGTCTGGAGGTTCGGTGCGGGACCCTTAAGGACACCAAGAACCGTGCACATTCAAGTCCCTGATGTAAAATGCCGTAATAGTTGCTTATGACCTTCATGCATCGTCTGTGGACTCTAAACCATCCCTAGAGTACTTACAATACCTAATATAGTTTAAGGACTATGTAACTGGTTGTTATGTTTTCTTAATTTGTATTTTTAATTGTCATCTTGTTATTTTTTATTGTTTTTGCCCTGAATATTTTCCATCTGTGGTTTGTTGAATCTGTGGATGCAGAATCCACAGATATGAAGGGCTGTCTGTACTTAAGACCGTTTGAGACATTACATTTAAGAAATGTAACTCTGTTGTGGCTCATGGGCCATGCACAAACAGGCCACATGTGTGCCAGCCCTTCTGCAGACGGTCACACCACCGTTAACAGAAAGAACCCTGCTTTCTCTTCTCTCTCACAGCCCCATGGCCGGAGGTTACGGAGTGATGGGAGACGATGGCTCTATTGATTACACTGTTCACGAAGCCTGGAACGAAGCCACCAATGTTTATTTGATAGTTATCCTCGTTAGCTTCGGGCTCTTTATGTATGCCAAGAGGTAAATTTTTTAGTTTCCGAGGGTAGTTAAGAAACTGCAATTATGAGTTTTGCACATTTTTTTAAAAAATCTGAATTGAACACATAAAAAATAATTTCATCAGAATATTTGTTCCTGCTCTGGTCTGTCCTCAGGCACCAGTGACCAAGGTTGGGCCCTAAAACCGCCGTTGCTGTCAGGGACAAAGGCTTTAAGTGCAGCTCTCAGCCACTGGGCCAGCTGCTCTAACCTCCCAGTGCTGTGATTTCTAATACAGCCCAATTTCATCATCCAGCCTGGGTTCATTGTCACCCTTCAATGAGCGCATTTTTTTGGCCCAAGTCCCTGAAATGCGGAAACACCAACTCCTATGTATTCAGCAAATCTCCTTTCAGTCACTTTAAGCTTTTCCTTGTCTCTTGTGTGTGTCTGTGTCACAGCACTTACTAAACCATGTCAGTCTTACCTGAGTACTTACCTTTCTGCTCCATAAAATGTCTTCTGTTTTTCACCTTTGAGTTCTGGGTGTGCCCACATAGCATAAATCCTCGATAAATATTTCCTGCCTTAATTCCATGGGGTGTTTTGAAGAGGAAAAGCAGCATTAGTTAGACCGAGTTGCTTATTACAGCCATATGCTTCAGGGTGTCCTCAGCCAAAGTAAAAAAAGGGAATTAAATAGTTCAAAATAATTATTAACAGTAATCCAGAAATAACTTACATTTGGCCCAGGGAATGGTTCTGAGGCTGCCCTTGCTTTCCAATACCTCCGCCCGCCCTCCTGGCTGAGCTCTGGCCGCTGGCCCAGCAGCCCCTGAACTCTAGGGGTGGGTGAGAGGAGGCTGTGCCTTCCATCCAGGTCTGCTCGCGGGCAGGCAGCAGCTCCTCTCTACAGGTAGCCTCCACTTCCTCCCCACATAGGCACACTGTTATTGTTTCTTTCTTTTTTTTCACTGTTCTTAATTTTAAAAAGATGTCCCCACTAAGGTCGTGCTATTGTATTTAAGAAATATGTTTATTCATTATTTTCTACAATTAAGGTCTGGTCAACTCCAGTTTCTTCTCTAACCCAGTAATTTAGCTTTACCTGGAGGAGGTGAGAGGGAGGAAAAATCAGATGTTTTCATGTTTGTGCATTTTTCCATGCAATATTTGGCTTTTGGGGAGATTGAGGAAAACCATATGGAGGTAACTTCGCTTTCTTGTATTAAATGGACGTGTTCGGCTACTTTCTTTTCTCACAGCCTGTGGCTATATATGTACAGCTTCACACTTGTTAGTGAGAAAAGAATACTTGGGCCAAGGAAGCATCTCACAGAGACAAAACAGAAAATAAGATGGGCTTATTGTCATTTAAGACCTTTTAACATAACTTCTTATTGCCGGGATCATGAGAATAATACAGTCCTATAGACATTAATGGAAGTCTTTGTTCTGCACTGCACTGATTTTGTGTTTTAGGAATAAAAGGAAAATTATGAGGATATTCAGTGTGCCACCTACAGAAGAAACTTCGTCAGAGCCCAACTTTTACGACACAATCAGCAAAATTCGTTTAAGACAACAACTGGAAATGTATTCCCTTTGTGAGTATACTCTGCTGCATGTTTGAAATAGATTTTCTGGAGTGGAGTTCAATCAGCTAAATGTTATCAGAAATAGTAATGAAAACTTAGTTCCTTTTGCAAATGCTAAACACCCTTTTCAGATGTTTACACTTTTGTTCCTTTTGCATTATTTACCATATGCATGACCAGTTCCAAATGAGATGAAATTTAACATAGCAGCATTATTCACAATAGCCAAAAGGTGGAAAAAACCCAAATGTCCTCACCAGATGAATGGATAAACAGTGGGGTGCATGCAATAGAATGCTATTCTGCCTTGAAAAGGAAGGATGTTCAGACACATACTACAACATGGATGAACCTTGAAGACATTATGCTAAGTTAAATAAGCCAGTCACAAGAGGAAATGTATTGGATTATTTCTCTTGTATGAGACAAATCAAAGAAACAGAAAGTAGAGTTGTGGTTGCCAGGGGCTGAAGGTGGGTGATTACTATTTAATGGGTCCAGAGTTTAGTTTGGGATGATGAAAAGAGTTCTGTGGATGGATGGTGGTGATGTCACACAACAATGTGAACGTATATAATGCCACTGAGCTATATACTTAAAAATGGTTACAATTACAAATTTTATGTTATGTATATTTTACCACAATAAAAAAATCATTTGAAAAATTTAAGTATTATTAAAAAAAAGTACAGAATCAGAAGTTCTATATGGAAAATTGTAAGAATTAAGTTTTTTTTTTTGTTTGTTTGTTTGTTTTTTTTTCCTTTTAGCATCCAAAACACAGTCACATAGAATTAAGTTTTTTTGTTTCTTTTTTTTTGAGACAGAGTCTTGCTTTGTTGCTCAGGCTAGAGTTAGTGCCCTGGCATCAGCCTAGCTCACAGCAAACTCAAACTCCTGGGCTCAAGCAATCCTCCTGCCTCAGCCTCCTAAGTAGCTGGGACTACAGGCAGGTGCCACCATGCCTGGCTAATTTTTTCTATATATTTTTAGTTGGCCAATTTATTTCTTTCTATTTATAGTAGAGACGGGGTCTCGCTCTTGCTCAGGCTGGTTTCTAACTCCTGACCTTTAGCAATCCGCCTGCCTCGGCCTCCCAGAGTGCTAGGGTTATAGGCATGAGTCACCGCGCCCGGCCAAGAATTAAGTTTTTATTGATGCCTACTCAAAACAGAAGTTATCCTCTGTCAGTAATATCCTTAATAATATAGCAGATGCAATTATAAACCCACTGTACAACTTTTTTCTTTTTCGACATTTTGATGGGAATCACATAAAATTTATCAGAATTTATGTTTGCAGAGCATGTTGGTTTTCTATTGCTGCTGTAACAAATTACCACAAATCTGGTGGCTTAAAACAAGGAATTGTCTCACAGTTGTGTGGGTTAGAAGTTCTACAGCAGTCTGGCTGACTAACACCAGGAGGTCAGCAGGTTCCATTTCTCTGGAGCCTGTGGGAAAATCCGTGTCCTGCCTTTTGTTGCTTCTGAAGGCCGCCCATATTCCTTGGCTGATGGCCTCTTCCTCATCATCCAGGCCAGCAGCATTGCATCTTTCTGACTCTTCTTCCATGTTCACCTATCCTCTCTCTGAACTTAGCCAGGAAAAGTTCTTAAAAAAGATTTTTAGGAACCATGTGATTATGTTGGGCCAAATAATCCAGGGTCATCTCCCCATCTCAAGACCTAATCACATCTTCAAAGTCCCTTTTGCCCTGCGAGGTAACATGTTAGCAGATTGTGGGGATTAGGATGTGGACATCTTTAAGCGCCATTATGCTTAAACAGTGAGTACACGCGTGGGTTTGCACATTTAATGAATGCCAGCATAATCGGTCACTCTTAGTGTTCATGACATATCTTCTCCCGACAGAGCCTGGCAGCTCAAGAGGAAATAGCAAACAAAATTCTTTTTCTTAAAGAGGACCCCCAAAGTTCTTTAGGTCATAAAAATCTGGATCTACCCTGAGTAGCATAAACAAATAATATCTCTTTCTTTGCTAGTAAAGACTTAAAAGAAGAGGTTGAAAGTTTTAAAGCTAAGCAGTGAATGATATTTGCTGTGTTTTCTGTAGTTTCAGATTAAGACAGTTTTTCTTCAATAAACATTTCTTTTTTTTTTGTTTTTTTTGTTTTTTTTTTTTGTTTTGTTTTTCTGCCACACGAGTATTCAATAAACATTTCTTAAAAGTACAAAAAGAAGACAGAATTCCAGATCTGGTTTATATTGTTGACATTGATGTTCAATAATAAGTCTGTTAGGCTTATAAGTTAAAATATATCAAAATCCTTACAGCATGGACAAAAGCATTATTAACTTAAGGTAGAAATGGGGGTAAAAAAGAAGGAAATGACAAAACATTAATTTTAATAGCTTAATTAATGTTTACCCTATATTTTAAAGTTCTGAATAATCGTGATACATAAATAATAATAATAAACATATCAAAATGGGTACAGCAGTGTTGAGAAACTAGAGGATCATTAAGTATAATAAATTTCCTCGGAAGACATAAAATTGCTTCATTCCAAAGTAATTCTTTACTGAGAATCATGGCTTGACTATGATTTAATGATGTTAGCTAGTAATTATTTTGCAATTTCATTAATTTATCTCTTCTTTTGCTTATTATTGTTGGGTTTTCTTTCATAGCAAGGAAATATGACTGTCAACAGCCACAGAACCAAGCTGACAGTGTGCAGCTCTCCTTGGAATGAAGCCCCAGAAAATGAGCAACGTAAGTGATTGTTGTTAAACAGCGTGGCAGAAGCTCCTAATTCTTTCTACTAAGTCATGAACAGCATTGTAAAAAAAAAAACTTCAGCCTGCATAAAAGCATTTCACTTGTGACTTTTTCCAAGTTTTTTGCATTATATTTTGCTTATTTTAATTGCATCTCTAAGTCATTTGTTACACAGATACAAATGGCTTGAGAGGTCTGAACACAGGAACCAGAGACAGTGACTTTACCTGGTGAAGACCTTTGATTTCTTCAGGATATAATCAGTGAGAAACAGAAACACAGCTTGGGAAATGAGAATCCGGGAGCTTATGCCTCTTTGATGAGAAAATTTTGCAAAATTAAAAAAACAAAAATTCAACCATTGGAATAACTTCCTCCAAGATTCTGTTCTGTGATAACTGTAATGTCAATACAGGCGAATTTGTGTTATTACTATTGCTAGCAAGTCTTTAATTGAATTAATGGTTTTTGCTTGTAGCCTGTCTATTCTACATCGTGAAGCATACCCATCTGCTAATTTTAGAAGCTTTCTGTAACTGCATTTTTCCCCCCATTAATTATGTTCCCAGGAGTTTGTTTGTTTTTAATCTCCCAGTTTCACTTCCACCAGATGGCTCCTCCTTAGGCCATGCTGGGGCCATGCTGTTGGGTGAGCAGACACCTCCGTGTTGGAGCTGGCAGCTCTTGCTCATATCACCATCACTGTTTCATGTGGCTGTCTGCTAAATCCTGCTTTTTTAGCATAATAAGCTTTCCTAAAGAGCCTTATATCTTATCCCATTTTGTACTGTACACAAATGTTTTCTCCTAATTTTTCATGTTTATTTAAATAAAAGCTTGCAGGTGGTGGTAGGAAAGTTTAACTGTCCATGTAGCTCAAAGAATCAGTTTTTGAAATAAAGCTATTCTTAACTGTAAGAGTTAATCCTTTTAAGTATTATTTCATTTTCCCTTTGTTATTATGGAATTAAAGAATATAAATTTTAAATGAAAATTAAGGTTTAGGCAAAATAAAATCAGGGAAATTGCATTTGCTTTAAAATTTTAATTATTCAAAAATGTATTCATTTCAAAATATCGTACAAGGTAAATTGTTGACCAAATGGAATAATTCTTAACTCACAAAGGAGTTTGATTGCACTGCCTATACATAGTATTAAAAACTGACTAAAGATTGTAGCCAGTTCCTGTTACAATTATGAGCTAGGATAGCAGAGCAGCAAGGGACAATCTTCTTAAACTTTGCTTTGCCTTAGGACAACTACCAAATATGTCCATGAGCAGAGAATTTAATCAGGAGCAGGAGTGGTTTACTTGTCACTGACATGTGGCACAATCTGGACAGACTGCAAAACCTGGCCATCTCAGATGACTTGTAAAAATAACTTAGAGAAATAAATATGAATCACACAATGAAACTGTTTTCTTTGTGTCCACTAGATAGAGACGGTCATAACTACAAACTGGTAGATTACCCGGTGAGCAACAGCCCCTGAGGGAGGACGATTTCCTCCTCCTTTCTTCCTTAGAGCTGACCAATGGGGATCACACACACCCCACTGGCAGGAACAGCACAAGCCGGCTTTGAAGTCTCTTCCCTAGGTCCACAGCTGAGCCGGGAGAAGGGTGCAGCTCTGCAGCCACGCTTTGCAATGGCTCTGACGGGCTGTCCCCATCTGCTCCGCAACCACCAAAGAGTCAACAGAACTGTTTTCCCTGGAAGCAAAGCAGAATGATCAGTAAACCAGTAGTTAGCACTCACGTTATCCCTTTTCCTCGTTTCTTCCTCCCTCTTTAAAGCATAAGATACTCAGCAGTGAGCACTGGTCAGCCCCACTGGTGCACAGCTCGATGTGTTAAATAACTGGATGTTCAGCTGATGCCAGCCAGCTGCACTCAGGGGAGAAGTGAGCCTCAAAGGGCACAGATGTTTGCTGTTGACCTCACGCTGTGTCGGGTTGAGTTATTTATGATTCATCAGAAAATGAAATGCAGGCTTTCTGGTGAAATCCTTGGAATGTCAGGAATATTCAAGTGGTGAGTAGAAATAAGGTTAAATAGCAGTGATTAAAAAATAGTTTCAGGTACTAAGGTGATACAAGAATAAACTTAACATAGAAAATAGCATTAAGGGGAGAAGGGACAAAAGAATATTGTATAGAGCTAAGTAATTCACTTAGTAAACAGTTCTGGCCAGATCCACTGTGCCAGCTGTATGTGATCCTCTTTGATAGGGTTTTTTCTTTTTCTTTAAGAGACAGATTCTCTGTTGTCCCGACCCACGGGATCTTCTGTTACTCGTGGGGTCAAGGGGGACTGTGCCTGAAAGAGATGGGTGAGAAAAAGGAACGAGACCAAGCAAAGGGTTGTCAAGGTCTACTTTACTTGGATTCTTAGTAGGTTTTATAAGCATACAGAAACAAGGAAGTAGAAACAGAAAAATAGAGTGGGGTGATGATGAGTCTTGGGTTTGGGTTAATCAGCCCCAATCAGCGTCTTCTCGGTATCGAAGCTGTTTGTGACTGGTTACTCATCTCCAACCTGGCAGGTGGTCGGGAACAATTGCAGTCAGCACTCCCTGGAGCATCCCGTGGTCAGCATGTCATGGAATACATTCTTCTCGGAGCTATAGCTGGAATTTTCCAGGGCGAAGCCCGTGTGTAGGACGAGTCATAGGGGAGTTGAGGGTCTTTGAGGGTCCTTGACTCTAACATCTCCCCCTCTCTTTATTAATATGAGGGAGATTTATATAGGTGGGTGGAGAGCCTGTCTTAGGCTACGCGATGGGCTTCCGAGACCAGCACCCCTAATATAAGATTGGGCGATTAACGTGAAGGTGAGGCCTCTATCTTAGGCTATGTAGGTGGCATCCAGCTCCGGCACTTCTGATTATGAAGTGTGCCCCCGGGCATGGACCTACAATATTCCCGTCATGGAGTCACCTCACCGTCGGCAGGGTATGCATCTGGTACACGGCATCGCGATAATCCCATCATGGGCGTCTCCACAGCCTTTGGAACCAACTGCGTTCCATGTCTGAGGCAAGGTTTGAGAAATTTAGACCTTCAGTGGGTGTATTGGGAGACTCTTCACGGAGGTCTTCTCTGGAGCCTCTTTGTTCTAGCCGTTGGTAAAACACAGAGACCGATTTTTGTGTGGCTGCGTCTACCTGTGACTTGACAAAATTAGTTAGTTTTTTGAATGCCCAAGGCCCAAAGGTGAGGAGCAACAGAAAACCTACAAGTGGCCCTAAGACACTGGGAAGCAATGTGGATAGCCAGGGGGATGTGGAAAACCAATTTTGATACCACGCTTCACTTTGTTCTCTCCGTTTTTTTCTATCCTCTAGGCTCTGTCTAACTCTTTCAATACTATCTTCTACCAGACCGGTTTTGTCTGCGTAAAAGCAACATTCCTCTTTAAGTGCTGCGCACAAACCTCCCTCTTGGAGGAACACTAAGTCTAGGCCTCTTCTATTTTGTAACACTACCTCAGAAAGTGAAGTGAGGGATTCTTTGAGATATTTTAGACCCTGCTGGAGCTCTCGGAGATCGATGGCAGCAGAGAGCTGCAGGTATTGCTGGTTGGAGGTGACTAGAGGCTATGCCTGTTCCAGCCCAGGGATTAGGCCGCGAGGGATGACTCCTAGGTGTGGCTCAGGGAGAAGGGTAAAACAGGCCTTGCATTTGCGGACGATCTCTCTGGCTTGTTCTCTAGTAATAGAGAATTTAAGTCTGAGGGTATAGGCATTGAGATGGTGTAAATTATGAGCTTGGTGTGCAGCGCAAACAGGATCAACGGCGATAGTGTGGACTGTGCCTGCAACGCGGGTTGCCTGATCAACAAGATTATTTCCAGCGACTAGAGGCCCAGGAAGGCCAGTGTGGGCGCGAATATGGCCTATGAAAAAGGGCGCAGAATGGGAGTGAATGAGTCCTTGTAGTTGCTGGAACATTTGAGTGGTATTGTTGGAGGGCCGAATATGAGGCACAGTTTCTAAAGTGGCGACAGCATGAGCAACATAAGAATTATCAGTATACAAGTTAAATGGTGACTGATCTACGTGTTTGAAGACTGCGACTAAGGCCACTAACTCAACGAGTTGAGCAGAGGAGAATCCGGTGGGAAAACTGTGGACCTGGCCATTAATGCTATAGGCCACGGTGCCTGAGGAGGATCCATCGGTAAAGACTAAGATGGCTCCTGGAATGGGGGAGACTCTTGTTTTTTTGGAAATATTACAGGTGTCTGATAGAGGAACTGAATTAGTTTATCAGGGGGGTAATGATTATCTAGTTTGCCCTGGAAGACGTACAGTTAACTGCCCAATCATCATCAGTTTGTATTAGCCACCGAATTTGGGAAGCATTGTAAGGGAGTATTATGATATCTGGATCCTTTCCAAAGAGCTTAAGGGAGTTTTCTCGCCCCAAGTGAATAATTTTAGCTACTAAGTAAGGGTAGGTGGGAAGGACTTTAGGGGGGGAAGCCGACAGGTGAACCCAAAAAAGGGGCTTGCCCTGCCAGAAGAGTCTCGTGGGTGAAAAGGGGGTGGGGAGGACAATGAAGTACAAGGGGGAATCGGGGGAGAAATAGCCAATGGCCTGGGCATTTATGGCCTGCTTGACTAAATTAAGCGCTTGCTGCCCTTCTTTAGTTAGGGAGCGTGGAGAGGTTGGATTGGCATCTCCCTGCAGGATGTCAAATAGGGGTTTTAACTGTCCTGTGGTGAGTTTTAAATATGGGCGAAGCCAATTAATGTCGCCTAGAAGGCGCTGAAAATCATTAAGGCATTGAAGAGAGTCTTTTCTGATTTGCACCTTTTGGGAGAGGACCTTATTGGGGAACAATTCAAAGCCTAGGAACAGGTGAGGGAGGCAGACCTGAATTTTTTCAGGGGACAGGCGGAGGCCTCAAGCTTGTAAGGCCGAGACAACCTGCATGGTAACTTGATGTAAGGTTGCCTCATTGGCCCCAGTGAGAAGAATGTCATCCATATAATGAATTATATATAGCTGAGGATGTTGAATTCTAAAAGAATCAATTGTCTGAGCCACATATTTTTGGCAAAGGGTGGGGCTGTTGGCCATGCCTTGAGGCAATACTCGCCATTGAAAGCGCGGAGAGGGTCCTCTACAGTTCACTACCGGGAGACTGAAAGCAAAGCATTTGCAGTCATCTGGGTGCAATGGTATGGAGAAAAAGCAATCTTTTAGGTCAATGACTATTTTATAGTAGCCTCTGGGGATAGCTACTGGCGAAGGCAAACCGGCTGGAGTGCCCCCATGGGAACCATTGTTTGGTTAACAGCCCATAAATCTTGTAGCAGCCGCCATTTGCCAGTCCTTTTTTGAATGACGAAAATGGGGGTGTTCCATGGTGAAGTAGAGGGCTCTATGTGTCCAGCAGCTAATTGTTCCTACACTAACGCTGTAGCTGCAGCTAGCTTGTTAGACGGGAGGGGCCACTGATCCATCCAGACAGGGGAGTCACTTTTCCAAGTGATTTTATCTGCCTGAAGTGCAGGGGGATTAATGGCCCTTACGAAAAATGGTCTTTGAACTCTAGTCCTGATCTGTCTGACTTAGGGAGGGTGGTTAAGGGTGCTCTTAGTCCCTGACCCTCTTTGCCTAAACCCTGTCCTGGGAGGAATCCCTGTTTAAGCATTTGGCTGGTTATAACCTCATTGGGGCTGCACATGACATTCATTTGTGCAAGGATATCACGCCCCCATAAGTTAATAGGTAGGCTCGGGACTACAAAGGGTTGAGTGGTACCTCTGTTTCCCTCAGAGTCTTCCCATGTCAAAATTTTTGAGCTCTGGAGAGTATCTCTAGACTGTCCTATACCTTGTAAGTGCATAAGGGAGGGCTACAGTGGTCATGAATTGGGCCAGGCGTCTTGGGCAATAACCGTGG